TTAGCAGCAAGAAGTACATAAAATCCAAGCTGTTGACTGTTAGTTTCGGTAAGTGCATTAGGGCAGTTTTTAACGAGCGCTCTTTTTTAATGTATTTGGGCTGTCCTGGATCTTTGCTGCTGCCCGGGCTTTTCTCTAGGTGCAGTGGGCAGGGCCTCCTCTCCAGCTGCTGTGCGCAGGCTTCTCACTGCAGGGCCTTCCCTGGTCGCGGAGCACGGGCTGGGGGTGTGCGGGCTTCAGCCGCTGCGGCCTGGGGGCTCGGTGCTTGCAGCTGTCAGGCCACAGAGCACAGACTCAATGGCTGTGCTGCCGGGGCTTAGCTGCTCTGCGCCGTGTGTCTTCTCAGTTGGCACGTGGATTCTTTGCCGTTGAGCCACCAGGGGAGGCCAGCAAGTGCTCTTTAGGTAATTCAGATTTTCAGGCTTGATTATGGACCCTTCCAGAGCATTTCTAGGCCAATTAAAATTTAAAAAGGGAGATTTGTAGGCCAGTGTATGTCAATAATGTCTAGCTGGACATGTCAAGGGAAAAAAACAACAAAACCTTTTTTTTGAGATTTTAAAGGTTAAATCATGGCTTATGATGCCCTAGTCATAATTGAAAAGAATTTCCTAAAGATTATGCATTCACTTAGCAGTGCACACGAATCTTAATTACATAATTACTTGAAGCAACCACTCTAATCCATCTTGTTCGTTTTACACTGTGTAAAGGAAACAAACTAATTATGGCTTTTCATTCAAGAAAAGTACCAACTGGTGCCACGTTTACTGGGTTCGTTCGGCCTAGTACACCCTGCTGCTTAGACAGGCAGGGAACAGGAGGGGGAGAGTGGTCATTATGCTGCTTGCATTCCTCAAATTGAACCAACCCTCAGGGAATGACGAAGGCATGATGATATTCTTCTACATTAGAAACCGGCAGCAAGCAACATGTTGACCAGGGAGCCACAGTCAAGGAGAATAACTTGAAATGGGCCAGTTTTAACTGGGCAAAGGTGGATGTGCAGTGACAGGAGAATGAAGGAATCGTCAGCACAAGGTACAGGCCAGCCTGATGACAAGTGAGACGTTCGCGTGTTAACATTCGGGTGCATGGCCGCATATACAAACAAGGAGCCTAATGGAGAGGAAATATTTGAACATCTCCTTATGCTGGTTAACTCTGAAGAAGGGCAACTTTGCCTCTCCAAAGACTTTCAGTTCTTTATTGTAACGACCTGGTGTATGGTCCCTGAAACACATGCTTGGAAAGGATAGAGAAACCGGGAGCAAAGGAGCCAAAGGCAACTATTAGAGTTTGGACGTTTTAGAGCCTTGGAACCATGGATACAGTCACGGATAATAGCATGGAGCCCAGGTGGCCCAAAAGGTTCACTCCAGTCTGAAACCCACCAGATGTGGTCTCGGAACAAGTTCATGCCCAATTACTGCCTACGTGAGATACCAATGTAGGCAAAAAAAAAAAGACCTTGAAGTTATCAGGAAAGGTGGGCTCAATCTGTGCCTGAAGTGAGAGGTGAGCACAAAAAGCTTGGAAGTGGGGTCACTGCCTGTCCCACAGTCATGAACAGAGCTTCTATGTGAGTTATATTCATGGTAATGGCATTTTACAAACCTGACAAGTTTACAGGGAAAATACTGGGATTATTTCAATCATTTGATTATTATAGGGTAATGTGTATCAAATTTTATTTCTAGTTAGCAATACCATACTTTTAAACTACTATTTAATATAGATTTAGATTATAAAATCTGAAGTGGACCATCATTTGAGGGCATATATGTTGTTTATTCAGAGAAGGCAATGGCACCCCACTCCAGTCCTCTTGCCTGGAAAATCCCATGGCCGGAGGAGCCTGGTGGGCTGCAGTCCATGGGGTCGCTAAGAGTCAGACACGCCTGAGCGACTGCACTTTCACTTGTCACTTTCATGCATTGGAGATGGAAAGGGCAACCCCCTCCAGTGTTCTTGCCTGGAGAATCCCAGGGACAGGGGAGCTTGGTGGGCTGCCGTCTATGGGGTCGCACAGAGTCGGACACGACTGAAGCAACTTAGCAGCAGCAGCATGTTGTTTATTTTACTCAATTACATATTTTATCTAAGATAAAGCTGGCCTTCTGGATTAAACACAGTTAATTTCCATTATTTCTTACACATTTGTCATAGAAGGAAACCAGTGCCCAATATGCACTATGTGTGAAAGTGCAGTGTGCAAGTGATAGTTGCTTAGTTGTGTCTGACTCTTTGCAACCCCATGGACTGTGGCCCGCCAGGCTCTTCTGTCTGTGGGATTCTCCAGGCAAGAATACTGGAGTGGGTTGTCATTCCCTTCTCCAGGGGATCTTCCCAACGCAGGGACTGAACCCAGGTCTCCCGCATTGCAGGCAGATTCTTTACTGTCTGAACAACCAGGGAAGCCCCAATATATCATCTTTAAATGGTTGATTTTAGATTGATGAAGCTGTTTCTCTAACTATAAAATTCTCCCACGACTGTTTTCAATGTGTTTTCCACTCTTGGATTAAGGAAGGGATAAAATGGCCACTATTTCCTTTTGAAATTTGGTATTTTTTGAATTTATACAGTGCCAGTATTTCTCCTAGCATCACATGACAGTAATCAGCTAATATTACATTCAAAAGTTCTCAATGATAACATTCATCATGAAATCTATTGATCATTATTAATTGGAACTTTTGACTTTCAATATACCCAACCCATACTGACTAACAAAAAAGAATCTGTTGTACATACCTGTCGAAAGATAATTTTCTGTGTGTCTTTCATTTTTACATGTCTCATGAGCAGAGGCACTGTGTGCTTCTTGTACTATGTTTTCAAGGAGTTTTTTAATAGCAAACAGCCTTAGAAGACAGAGATAGTGTCACTAAAACAAAAGGCAGATGTGCTTATAATAATAATACTAAATTTTTATACTATACCATACTAATATTATACTATATCATGTTACATAATACCATACCATACTATATTATACTATATTATGTTCCTCTAGAACAAATGATCAGGCATCTTTACTGCCCATTATAAAAGACTTGAATTCCTAAGTCCAAGGTTCCTCTCCTTTAATATAGGTACAAGGGTCACCTGACCCTCTTTGAATCGCCCTTTTGGGAATTAGGCTTGGGGAGCAGGAAAATGCTGATATCCTGGCCATTGTTATTTCTTGAATAATAATGTTGTTTGTCACTGACTTTTGACAGAATCCATGAAACTTCGATGAGCTACTTAGTTTGCTTCTAGTCAGGATAAAATCTCAGACCCTTCATTGTTCTTGACAACATCATGAAAAAGACGAAGAATGGGACTTCTTTAGGACACTTTCACTCTATGCACGCTTTGTGGATTTCCACCTGTGATGTAAATGTGTTATGTAAATGTCCGACTTTTTGCGACCCCATGGACTGTAGCTCACCAGGCTCCTCTGTCCATGGAATTCTCCAGGCAAGAATACTGGAGTAGGTTGCCATTCCCTTTTCCAGGGGAATCTTCCCTCCCCAGGGATCCGACCCAGGTCTCTGACATTGCAGACAGATTCTTTACTGTCTGAGCCACCAGGGATATAAATGTGGGTGAAAGGGAAGGTGAAAGTTGCTCAGTGGTGTCTGACTCTTTGCGACCCCATGGACTATACAGTCCATGGAATTCTCCAGGCCAGAATACTGGAGTGTGTAGCTGTTCTCCTCTCCAGGGGATCTTCCCAACCCAGGGACTGAACTCAGGTCTCCCACACTGCAGGTGGATTCTTTACCAGCTGAGCCACCAGGGAAACCCATAAATGTGGGTACATGCATTAAATTAATATGATTTCCTTAGTTGGTCATAGTCTCCTGTGCGTGTGCGTGTGTGTTTATAAGAGAACAGGCTCCTGACAGTTGTTGCAAGGATTCAGGAGCTTAGCTTTTAAAGACAGCTGGTTGATATCCCCCTCCCCTTGGCTAAGAGAAATCAGTGAATCTACCAGGTGGAAAGAATATATGTCATTTTTAACTTAAGGTCTATTGAATATTGAGGGTTTTGAAATAAAATTTGACAGATTTCTGAACTAATCTATAAAATGAATTGAAGGCAGTTTATTTAATGAACCAGGTCAGATGCTCTCAAATTCTGTCTAGAGTGAGGCTGGTGGGTGCAATATAGGCGGTATGACTTCCGAAAAGCGGGGATTAGCCCCAAACACATGGTGGGCTCCCAGAAGCTCTGTGAAAAAGTCCTCCTGAAATAACTCTTCCATTTGCTTTCAGATGCCTGAAATTCTTTATCACCAAAAGGAAATCCTTTCATCCAGTGTTTGTAGTAAAGGATTAAAAGGCACCCACACAGGGCGAGGTGACTCCGCTGTGGCATACATGAATAATAGATTTCCTAAAAGCAGGCTTTCTGTCTTAAACTGGTAGAAGGGCTTAAGTTTATAGAGAAGAGGGAAAAGACGTCATAATGATTTTATTAAGATAATTATCAGTAACCTTATCCACGCTGGCAAGTCGATTTGAATATGCATGCAAACTCTACTTAACTGTCAGTGGCTTCCTAGTGGGCTGCTAATGAAGAATTCGAGGGCGCAGCCAGGTTTAGTAAAATTCTGTTGTCAGCCAGTCATGGCGACCAAGAGTTTGGCGGGAGACCTGATACGTGCTAGGTTTTTGGTATCTCTGACCTACATTTTTAGTTGTAAGTGGCTTTCCAAGAGAAAATGTATGCATTTAGGATATAATAACATCTATCAGCCAGGAAATGATGTTAAAAATTGATAAAAATTCTTCATTACTTCATTTTTAAGTTCCCCTACCACAGCACACACATTGTTCTTACTTCCGAGTTTAATACCCAGGTTCTAGCTAAACCAGAAGGTCATAGATATCAGGTGAAGTGAAAGTCACTCAGTTGTGTCTGACTTTTTGCAACCCCATGGACTATATAGTCCATGGAATTCTCCAGGCCAGAATACTCAAGTGGGTAACCTTTCTCTTCTCCAGGGGATCTTCCCAACCCAGGGATTGAATCCAGGTCTCCCGCATTGCAGGTGGATTCTTTTACCAGCTGAGCCACAGGGAAGCCAAAGAATACTAGAGTGGGTAGCTTATCCCTTCTCCAGTGGATCTTCCCAACCCAGGAAATGAACCAGGAACTCCTGCATTGCAGGCAAATATCAGGTAATTGATACATTATGGTGCATCAACCAGGATCTCCTGCATTGCAGGCAAATATCAGGTAATTGATACATCAAATAGGCCAGCAAAAATCTACTGGTGACTGACTAAACTTCCTAGCTCTATTGCTGTTAGAAATATTTTGACACAAGTGACAGAAATTCAACTTTAACCAGCTTAACCCCAAAGAGGAAATCAATGGCTCCCATTACCAAGGGCTGGGGTGTGAACTGGGAGATTGGTGGAACTGTGGTTTGGAATACCATCAGGATGTCCTCAGTTTATCACTGATGCCACTTTTCATAAACAGACAACCTCTATGACACTGGCACCAACAAAATCAGTGACTTTGGTTTTACCATCAAACAGAAAGGGGATCTCATTTTTTAGTCCCAACTAGAGAAAAAAATAAACGGTGACAAAGGACCAAAGACTTCAGACAGTGTTGCAGTTACTATTGAGTTTACTCGGATCAGGGATGTCCCTGGATGTACTTGAGGCCAGGAAGGGGTGTCTGCAAGATTGCATCAGTTCCCTCTGAACCACAAAGTTAAAATCTTTCCCAGAATGTGGGAGAGTTCTGCTCCTCCTACTGATTCAACTCCTTACCAGTCAGAACCAGGTAAGTATCTTACTGATTCCTGGATTCCATGGACAATTTTGATCAGAGATGTAAATCTAACCTGAAAGAGTTGTGTTTCATTTCTATAAAACAAAAAGCAGCATGCTAATTTTCTTAAGAAAAACTTTAATAGTTTCTGTCAACTTCAGAGGAGCGTATCACTGTTTGTCAGCAAAGCCTAAAGGGTTTTTAACTACTCTTGTTTTCTCCCTGTATTCTTAGTCTTGTTTTCTACCATTCTCTGTCACTTCCAAGCACCTTTCCTAAGTCTATCCATCCTCCCACTACTCAAGCATTTATCAAATTAACTGATTTTTCCTGTATCTGTGCTTTAGCCTCTCTTGTCAAACATGATGAATTTTCTCAACTGAGAGAAATTTCTACTTATTTTTCAAGATCTAGCTTAAAAGTTTCCTCTTCCAGGAAACTGCTAATATTCCATTTCCTCACTTGCCCTACCACACAAGGAGTTACTTACTCTCTTTTCCATCCTTCAGGAATACTTAGCTTTTTGTTTTATCACGTACTGCCTTGTATCTTATTAGCTTTCCTGATATATGGTCTATATGCCGTAACATCATTTTAGTATATTCACAGACTTGTACAACCGCGTTGTCTAGTTTGAGAACATTATTACTAGCCCGAAACCCTGGTGCTCATTATCAGTTACTCTGTGTTCTCTCTCTAGCTCCACATACCTCCTCCTCCCTCTAGACAACTGCTCATCTATTTTCTCTACAGATTTGTCTGTTCTGGGCATCTCATATATATAAACAGATATGTGATCTCTTGTCACTCACTGGCTTTTTTCAGTTAGAATGTTTTTGAGGTTTATCTGTGTTGTAGCATGTTATCAGTGATTCATTTTTTCCCTGATGAATAATATTCCATTATATGAATATAACTCATTTAACCTATTCATTTCTTAATAGATGAACATATGGATTGTTTCCATTTTCAGCTATTATGAATAAAGGTGCTATGAATATTTGTGTACACGTTTTTGTGTAGATAGAAGTTTTCATTTCTCTTGGGTGATACCCAGGAGTGGAATTACTGGATAGTGTGGTAATTCTGCCTTTTTTTTTTTTTCTTTTTTTGGCCTCACCGTGTTGCATTTGAGGTCTTAGTTCTCAGACCAGAGATCAGATTCCTGCCCCCTCAATTGGAAATGTGGAATCTTAACCACTGGACTGCCAGAGAAGTCCCTGGTGTGGTAATTCTATGTTTCACATTTTGAGGAACTGCCAAAATCTTTTCCAATGTGGCTCTACCATCTTATATTTCCACCAGCAATGTATAAGGGCTATAATTTCTACACATCATGACTTGTATCTTAATTATTATTCACATATATATCTCTTCCAATAGACTGAAGAATGGGCTCTATTATGAGTTGATTTTCATTCATTGTTATATAATCAGCATTCTCTAAAATTACGTAAAAATTTGAGGAGAGAGGAAAGATTGAGTTTGTATATACATTAATAATTAATTTAAGATTTTTTTGTTTTCCATAAACTAATTTTTTTCTGACATTCTTAACAGGTGGGTTTTAATGTGCTTTTTAGCCAGATTGCCACACTTATTACTACTGGTACTTAACATCTTAAGATAATAACTTTGTCAATATTTTCTCAGGATTATGACCAAAGTGCCATGAGAATGTGAAGTAGCAATGTCATTTCTGGACTTTTTTCTTAAAGTAAGTCATATTCAAATGATTATGTCCTTAGCAGTGATTTCATGAAGGGGAAGGCAAATTTATGTTCAGCAATGGTTGTGAGCAAGAAACAAAGGAGAATTTAGAAAATAGTCTAAGCTCAAAATCATTTAAACTAAAAACGAAACTATAAAATGATTTTTTTCTCAAATAAAAGCTATTAAACAATATACTTTTGCACAATGTACATTGAACTTACCCACGGCCTTGTCTGTTTTACAGAACAATTTCAAAATTTACATAGATGATACGAATTACACAGAAGTTCAGAGGGATGACTTTATAATATGTACAGTTCCACACTGCAATCTTCATCTCACAAGAAGGCATGGGTCACTTAGAAACTCTTCTGTCTAGGACCAAGACATCCATCAATGAACCATCAGCATTTATTGATCACATCCCAGAGCATCAGTGTTCTTTTATAGGCATCTTTGGATTAATGACTAAAACAAAATATTAGTGCAGCAAAAAAAGAGGCTCAGAAATTGTTCTGACTACAAATTTGGATTTTAAAAATATTTCAAAATGCTTTAACATTATAATGACAGGATGTTTGGCTGTACTACATGTGTATCTATGAGTCTCCATATTGTTTCACGATAAATTCTTCTAATTTGTGTCACTGATTTTTTGACTTTTAACTCTTACAGGTTTAATATTTTCCCAGACCATCAGCTATATAAGGGCATGCTCTTGATAGTAAATCTTCAATGTAATCATACGGATTCCAGCACAGGTATGTTAAGATTTTTAGAATCAATTTTTCTTGCTGGTCTGACTCGAAAGATATTACATATAGAAAGAGAATCAATTATCCTTACAAAGATAAAAAAGAGATTCTAGGTTAGCAAATCCACATTTCCTCACATATATTAACAGTAAAATAAACCCTAATTCTGAAATTCCCTTATATTTTTATGTAACTTTTTTATGAATAGAGATATTGAAATGGATCATATAACTCTTTAACACTGGGTTTTATTAATGAAAAACAAAAATCTTTCCAGTGGCAAGACCAAGGAAAGGTATATAGTTTACAAACCACAATTTTTACATATAGTTTTTCTCTTAATACAATAAAGAATGAATTCAGAGGGGTCCATTCTATTCAAAATGCCTACTGTGAACTGTAACTTAATTTTTCTAGTTTGCTACCCAAAGTTCTGGCTTATAGCAGATCTGACACTTTAAAAATAGGAAGAAAAATAAAGTGTCATAGGAAAGTACTCTTGAAACATAATTTAATTAAAATCCTTTCAAATGATCATTTCCTTCAGTTATATTATGGTTTTGAATCATATAATAATTTATCACATTTTTTAGCAGCAAAAAGAAGATTAGCCAGGAAAAGTACTTTAAGACTCATGCAACTCAGATTTTTATTTTCATGGCAAGAAAACACTGTCCATATTTTTAAGGTCTTATTTTCAATGAAAACTCAAAATCAAATTGTGCAACAGCACTAAACACAATAAGAACATAAATTAAAAAGAATAATTCCTGTTGTTTTGTATTACATTGTTTGCTAGGGGACCTGCCTATGAGGGAGCTAGGTTATGAACTTTTATTGCTACTTTCTAATTTGTGTCACTGATTTTTTGACTTTTAACTCTTACCGGTTTAATATTTTCCCAGACCATCAGCTATATAAGGGCATGCTCTTGATAGTAAATCTTCAATGTAATCATACGGATTCCAGCACAGGTATGTTAGATTTTTAGAACCAATTTTTCTTGGTGGTCTGACTGCTATGTTTCATTAGTTTACAGTGTCGGTAGAGTTAGTGTGTCTCAATCTACAAATTGATTAAAGAGAAACAGATAATGATTCTAATTACTAGAAATTTAACTTTGAGTCTGTTGTCACATGGAGAAGCCATTTTACTTCACTGTAATACTGTGCATTTGCCATTATTGTGGGGTTATTTTGTGCATATTCTCTACACTTACATAAGATGGCTATTATATGTAAAATTTCAAGTAGATTAATACAGGTCTAAAAATTCAAGTGTATAATAAGTACTATCTGGTAAACTACTTCTAAGTAAAATTAGTCTTGAGCTTGGTTTGCAGTTGTTCACCCTTTTCTTACGTAATCTTTTCCTTTACAACAAAAACATGAGCATTTCACTTGTTCATCTGTTCACCAATTGGATATTCATGCATACCTACTGTTGCACCGAGCTTGATTCTGGGCATTGGAAACAGCGTGGTGAATCAGATAGGTAAGTCCCCAGCTCTCAGGGAGCTCACAGGCTAATGGGAGAGACAGCCAGCCAGTTAATTAACAAAAGAACAATAACAATCAAAGTGCTAGAAAAATCAAACAAGGTAATATGGAACAGGGAGTTTGGCGTATTTCATGAAATGGGATAGTTAAGAATGACCATTCTCAGTAGATGGTATCAGAGCTGAACCCTCCATAATGAGAAGCAAGAAAGAAAGCAAAGATCTTAGAATGTTTCCTTCCTGGCAGAGGAAACAGCAAAGTAAAGGGCCTGTGCCTGTGATCTACCATCATTTGCATTCATTTAGCTAAGGTTCTTTGCATAAACATTTTACTCATGCTAATAGAGCATAATTGTGTCTGTAATTATTAATTTTACTCAGAGGATTGTGTAATTTGGAGAAAAGATTGATTGATGATCTTTACCTTTACATGCAAGGATAGCATACTGTGTTTTACTGGTCCAAGTAGCAGTTAGGGTAGAACTTCCCTGAATTTTCAGACTAGATCCTCCCTTGAGATTTGGGGTGCTGAGAGTCATTATATAAAAAGTAGTAGGGGAAAATGGCTTTGGGAGATGAGAGAAGAAACCAGAAGAAATGTTAGCTTCTGGTCTAAAACAGCAACAGAACTCTGTCATGTTTCCGGTTTTGTTTTGTAAGGAGTTTATTTTCTGAACTGTCATCGTTATCATGCTGAACTATCATGTTCATTTCTGTCCTTAAGAGGTGTGCAGATGCATGAATGAATTCTTTAGAAGTAGAAATTTCTGACTATTGTTCCAAGGATTTTCAAATTAGCTTCTACTCTTGGTCACAGTACAATAAACAATGTGATTATAAAGCTACCTTTTATAAAGTTTCACACACATTATGTGTAATATATACACACATAACACACAGGCATAGATATATGTATATTTATATCAGAATTACTGAAATCATCTAACACCACTGATTAAAACAGAAAAACAAAATTAAAATGATATACCCCAAAGAAGTCAGACCCATCAGGTGTCTGATTAGCCATACCCAGACACTTGCACTCAAAACACGCAATCACACAGAACCAGTCTCCTCTCTGAAAAAGGAAAGGCTGGTGAGATCAAAGAGCTTGGCTGAGCTCACATGGAATCATAGTGGTTGGTGTGAGAACAGAACCTAAGACTCTGGACAGTCAATTCAGTTCAGAGCTCCCTCCCAGGGAAACAGGCCAGTTTGGAAGGCATCTGCGCAGACAATGGCCTTATTCTTTCTTTACTTTCCTAATTTGATGATTTTTTTCTTGCCATGATAGTTAAGTAGGATACTTTGGCAGGCATTTAAAGAGGGGTGCCAGCTAAAAATGCGGGAGTCAGTGGGTGATTCTGCTGCAGGATTGAGGAAGAAGTAAGTATTGATCATGTTTAGAGGCAGAAAGGGCTGTGGCTTCAGGAGTGTGCAGTGTTGCTGAGTTGCTGATAACCCTGACCTCCGTGTTTCTCTGTTGGAAAATAATTACAGGGCTGAATTGCCCTTAACCATGATCAAAGGGGGAAAAAAAGATTGTGTTTGAAGCACTGCTTTTTTTTTTTTGCTTTATTTTAAAAATTTTCCTTATCAGTACAGCTTTATTTTTAACATCATGGTTGTGAAAACTGTTCCATAATGTCAGGCTACTCTGTGTTTTCTTATCTTGAAAATAGTAACAAATAATAACTGTTTTTTTTCCAGTTTCTTATCACCCTAGTACAACCAATTATACCTAATTACAAACCACTGTTTTTAATACATAATATTTTTGAATAGTGTTAGTCTTAAGCTAGATATTTGTTCTATAGCTACAGCTGTAGGGACTGTTTTTGAATATTCTCTGAAACATTTTTTACATGTCAGATAAGACTAGCCAACATCATTGTTCTACCAAATCTTCCTTATTCCTGACAAAATGCCTTTGTCAGCCTCCTGAACTTCGGTATCTGTGTGTGTGTGCTCACATGCATGCGTGTGCTCAGTCATGTCCGACTCTCCGACCCCTTGGGCTCCTCTGTCCATGGGATTCTCCAGGCCAGAATACTGGAGTGGGTAGCCAGGCCCTCCTCCAGGGGATCTTCCCGATCCAGGGATCAAGCCCAGGTCTCCCGCATTGCAGGCGGATTCTTTACTGTCTGGGCCGCCAGGGAAGACCTCCAGGGGGTAGTAACTGGCAAATTCTAAGAGGTATAAAAATATATGTGTGCTGTGTATGAAGGACCTGAGAGGATTACACATGCATTTTCAAATCTCACAGCCTCTAAAGTATTTCTTTGTTACAGGGTTCCGTACTCTAGGTGATCATTTATTAATCAGTATGAACTCCTGGAGAAAGGGGCTGTGGGTTATTCATCTTTCAATGCCCAATAGATCACCCAGATCCTGGCCCAAGGGCAGATTTTAATAAATGTTTATGTGATTCAGAATCATTCATGTTCTATCATCTATGGAAAAAGCTTCATCAACCACAGTATGTATATCTTTGTAAGTGAAGTATCTCATAAAATCAGTTATCTGATGCACAGTTTTATGTGTATATTCCTCTTTTTTAGCTGAACTGTTCCAAGTGCTAAGCACTAAAATCAGTTAAGTGATACTAGATAATGATTTTCTCAATGTTTCAGTTATACATGCACCTTTATCTACAACAACATTCATGGGTCTTATAATAATTGGCAAAAGACCAGAAATATGCTTTCCATCACTCTGAGTATCTTCTAGATCTCACCTTGTGAGTGACTTCTTGAACCTGGATCTTCCTCTGCCTTTTCCCCACCAGCCATAGCTCTCTCTGTTTCATCTAGACTAATTTTACAAAAACAAAACAAAACCTCAGAATCAATTGGCAAGTGATTACAAGTCATTAGCTTCTTGCTGGGTTAATTAGAAGTCATTAACTTCAAGGGTTAAGACACTGAATATCTGTGCCTTGAGTTTCTGAACTTAATTTGAAACTATACATGAAAGAGAACATCTAAATATCTTTATGAAAATATATTTAAAATGTAATACAAGCTTACATCCTGAAAACCCCAGTGGAGTTCCAAAATAAACACACATACAAAACTAAAAACTCAGTTTTGAAAAATGTGACCTCCTAGTGAGTTGGATGCTAGCCAAAAAGACTGTTAGATCGATTCCTGTTAACCAAGGTAGTTTTCCCAGAGGCAACCAGGTACTAAAGTTCCAGCTCCTCTGTCTTAGAAATGTATTGGCTACTATAGAGCACTTGTGTTATCCAGCATTACCTGCAGAACACACACATACTCACACAAATACCCATACACACCTAATTTCTTGATAACATGAAAATAAAAGGCAGAATAGAGCTAAAGATGGAAAGACAAGCTTTAGAAAGTATTTGCCTCCTTCACAGTACTTAAGTCTATACCTGGCATTTGATAATTTATATATTTATTCCTAGCATAGTTAAGCTAACTTTGTTCGGCATTCCCTGGGCATTTAAATTATTATATTTAATAGTTCTGTTACAGTATACTAAGTCTGCATAATAAGAAACTTATTCAAAGTAGTTTGTATGAAAATTTGATAAATTTTAAACTGTAATGATTTCAGATGTTAAAAGCATGTTATAATAATTTACAATTTTGGTTCAAAGCTTACCTGCACTTAGAATTTTGAATCTCACTCTCATTCAATATCTGCACCTATCTCCAAGAATGTGTATGTATTAAACACATGCTGTCTTCTCATTAGTTGAAAATATATTATCAATTAATTAAAATGATAAACTAGAGAATTGGACAATCTTGGCTTTGAAGACGATCTCCACCAAGCATTGGATTTTCTATAATCTTGCCATGATTTCACTTTATTTTCTTTCCAGTCTTTATAATTTTATTTTCTTCATTAAGTGAACTGGGTAACGCCTCTGGTACTATGGTAACTGGTACTGCTGTTAATGAGCATCTTAGTCTTACTCCCAAATTCATGAAGAACGCGTTTAAGCTTTCTCCAATAAATATGATGTTAAGCATAGTTTTTTGTAGATGTCCTTTTTCAGACTGAGGAAGATAACTAAAAGAGTAACTAGAATAGAAGGCACCAGAGTATATTGCTATTGGTGTGGTACCTAAATAAGTATAAACACACACACACACAATGTGAGTTTTGGGCTTGAAAGCTGTTGCCCTAGAAACTCCCAATTCAAAACAATTCTCTTTATAACCTTGATGTTATTTCTCTTTCTTGCCAATTCATCATTGTACCTACACCTTCTGTTCCACCAAACTGCATGTTTAATAGGCTGCTTCTTGTATCAAAGCGCAGTATGCTTGTATACAAACATACAAACCACAGAATAGGGCTCAAAGACTGTTTGTGTGAAACGCTTCTGTACCCTTTATTCAGGTCAAAAGTATCAGAACCTTAGATGTTTCCTTCATGCTTTTCCCCAGTCTCTGATTCTCTTCCCAAATAACCACTACTCTCCTGACCGCTAACATCATGGATTACTTTTGCCTGTTTCGATCTGCATATAAATTAATATGAATAAATTATTCTCTTTATTCTCGATTTTCTCTGTCATCTTTGCTCAATATTATCTTTATGAGATTTATCCATGTTATAGTGAATGGCACGATTTTGCTCATTTTCTTTGTTGGATGGTATTCTTTTGTATAACTCTTTGAAAATCTAATTATCTATTAGATGACTGATGTGCATCTGGTTGATTTTTGGCTATTACAAATAATATAAATAAATACTCTTTTTGAAGATTGTTTGATGTGGATCATTTTTAAAGTCTTGTTACAATGTTGCTTCTGTTTTATGTTTTAGTTTTTCTGCTATGAGGCAAGCACCCCTACCAGGGATTGAACCTGCACCCCTAGCATTGGAAGATGAAGTTGTAACCATCGGACCGCCAGGCAAGTCAAGTCCAACTATATATATTCTTGTACATACCTTTTAATAAACATACTTTTTTAAGGCATATATTAGAAATGGAATTTCTGAGTTTTATGTGTTTCACTAATATTTGCTTTCTGTTTATTTGTTCCTTTGTATCTTATCCCTCTGAGTTCTCCCACCCAACTCCCATCCTCTCTCTGAAAGCAGCGTTGCTTCGTGGCTTTCAGGCACTTCCATGCCATTTAGCTCTGGATCACTCAGGCTAGGAGAAGTGAGGCAGAGCCACCCAGCTCATTCTTGCAAGCAGCCACTCAGCCTCTCATATTACTTCTGTTTATTTTGTATGGAGGAGGTTGTTTGCTGCTTTAGTTTTTTTAAGACTGGAGCATTGTGGGTTGTGATTAGTGTTGTAGATGGTTTCCACAACACTAATTTACTCTCCTATCAAAAATATGGGAGATATTGTTGCTACATAACCTGGACAACACCTACTACTGCAGTTTCTTATATTAAATTTAAATACATTATATTTATTCTGGTAAGTGTTAAGTCCTATCTCTATCCTTAACTGTGGCAAAAACAAAGCAAAAACCAAAGACAATTTTTACTCTGTGGCTTCACTTTTATTGGCAATGAACAGAATAGTGTAATTCTAAAATATCTTCCTGTCTATTTAATGCATTTCATGTTTAGTTTAAGTAGTCTTTGCCTAAACCAAGATAATTCAAATATGCTCCTATGTTTACTTCAAGAAATCTTATTATTTTACAGTTAACATTTAGATCTATAATTTACCCAAGTTGCTTCTTGCAAATAATGTGAATTAGGTATAGAGATTTTATATATATTATATATATTTCCAATTTCCCCTATATCAGTTTTCAAAAGGTCTGTACATTTCCTCTGAGATGAAGTGCCATCTCTGTCGTAAATTTAATTCCATCTACATGTGTCTATCCTGGACTCTTATGTTCCATTTGTGTATTTTTTTCTCCTTGCAGTGTCATATTGTTTTAATTGCTATAACTTCATGTCTTGAAATACAGAGGTAAGGTTGTTAGCTTTGGTTTTCTCCTTAAAGATTGCTTGGCTGACATTGTTTCAGCCATTACTGAGTAGCTTATAAGGTTAACCCTCCTGTTGATAAAGGATATGAAACCTTGAGAAAATATAAAAAACAACTCTTTGAATATATCAGAGAACAAGGACACAGAAAGTACTTGAGAAAAAGAAATCAGGAATTACCTTGGTTTATTTCCTCAGGGCAACAGGCGAAGCAGACAGTAAGACCTTCACGGTACTCTGAAGACCAGGGTGTAGGTAACCAGAATTATCAAACTTTGAGGGGCAGAGACAGAGAATGCCATGACAGTGAGTCCCTGAATTTGAACACAAATTTATCTTAAATCTTTTATATTTACCCATATATTTATCATTTCATGTATTTGCTATTCTTTCCTTCCTAGTTTGGGTGTTATTTCTCTTTATTCTGAAAAATCCCTTTACTATTTCTTACAGTGAAGATTCACTAGCTGTAAGTTCTCTCTGGTTTTGTTTATCTGAATCTATTTAACTCATATTTGAAGGATACTTCTGCTAGAAAAAAAAAGAATAAAAATCCGGGCGGTAAGGTTTTTTTTTTTTTCTTAAAACCCTTTAAAAATGCCATTTCATTGTCTTCCAGGCTTTATTGTTTTTGTAATTATTCTCAAATAGTTTTTCCTCTGTATAAAAATTGTCTTTTCTTCCGACTACTTTTAAGATACTTTATTTTTGATATGCAGCAGCTTGATTAGATGCGCCTAGTTGTGGTTGTCTTTGCATTAATTTTGTTCTGGGTTTGCTGAAATTCTTGGATCTGGATTGATGGTTTTTAACAAATATGAAGAAATACTCTCTCTGGCATAAAACATACATGAAATGTTATACTGCTTAATGTCATTCCATAAGTAACTGCATTTAAAAAAAAATATTCTCTGTTCTTCAGATTGGATAACTTCTAATTTTTTATCTTTAATTTCATTGTCCTTTCTTCTGTAGTTGTCAATCTGCTGTCAAGTTCATCTGATGAACTTTTATTTCAGATTGCATACTTTTTAATTCTAGACTTTTTCCATTTGATTCTTTATAATAGATTTAATTGTTATGCCAAGACTCCTCATATATTTACTTATTAGGTCACCTTTTCCTTTAAATTCTTAAAGATATTTATTATAGTTTAAAATTTTTTGTCTGGTAATTTCATCATTTCATATTAAATATTGCCTGTCTATGAAAGGACAGCCTACTATTTATATTCATTTTATGCATTTATACCATACTTAACTTTTTCTTAAATTTTTTGATATTTCTAAGCCACAAGGCTCATCTGAGAATTTTTTCAAATTGTCATAAATCAAAAATTTTTCCAATATACTTATTGAAAAAAATCTGTAATATAAGTGGACCTGCACGGTTCAAACACATGCTGTCCAAGGGTCAACTGTATATTAAACATGTTGGCTTCTTGGTATACTTAGAGTCCTTGCTTCTCAGATTTCCTTCTCCAGGGAATCTTCTGGACCCAGGGATGGAACCCTTGTCTCCCGCAATGCAGGCAGTTCTTTACCATCTGAGCCACCAGCAAAGCCTGCAAATGTGCATAAAGACCCCATATCATCAAATGAAAATGAAAAGCAATGTTCTAGAGCTTTGTTAAAAAGTTCGAAGTGTCTTCCTCTTCAAAGATAATGATTTAGCAAGCAGACAGACAATAAATTTCCAAAACTAATTTAGTGTAATGAAAATATAAGTGAGCTGTGGATCAAAGTTCTGATTTCTACTAAAAATGAAGTATAATTCTATAAGCTTCAGTTTTCTTATCTATAAAGTGAATGGATTAGATAAAATCATTTTGAAGGTATAATTTAGACTCAAAATATCATGACACTAATAATAACTATATTTTCATTTTTTTAGTTGGGTTTAAAGATAGGTGAAAAACAGGATGGACTCACTGGAAGCAAGAATGGAGATATCACAGTGAATTTTGGAGGCCAGGGGAGAGCCTGCAACCCATGGGTATTTTTTCTTGCCTAAAGGTAAGACATGTGGATGAATCAGAACAGAATATCTTAATTCCTAATTTATACTGAATACACAATCTGTGAATAGAAACACATATACTGTTTTCTGTGTAGTTTCTGTGGTTGCCTCCTGATTGGTAGCATGTGTGGATTAGCATAAAGGGATTTCGTGTTTTGAGAGCTCAGAGACATTATCTGATTATTTAATACTTCTTTGACTGATGCTGAAACCAGATAACAGTAACCTGGTATTTGTCACTATTCAAATCTTACCTCAAGTGCTCAGTGTAATCCTCGTAATCTTAGCAAAGAGTTACAATAAAGATCAAGCTAACACCTGACAACTGTTCAACATTTCATTTGTTTTTAAAATAAAAAGCAAACATTCAGATTGAATTATTGCCTTAATCCACACGGATCACTTTAGTCATGGGCAAACTAGATGAAAGTCAGTGAGACTCAATACTATAGCTCTAAAAAGATTTTGCCACTCCAATGTTTAATAATACAAACTCAAGACTGCATACTTTTTTTTAATGCACAAACTTTGAAAAAAGCCACTGCTAACATGTGGACCGTTCAGTCATTCTGTAAAGGTAATTGGGAAGAATGTATCAGATGCAGATTAAGTATTTGTCCTGGAGTCTCTCATTGACAGAAAAGTGAAATTCCCAAGGAGTTATTTTGACTCCACGATAGGTTTTTTTTAAGCAATTATCACAGAGCTAGCTGCACTCGGCCCCAAGTAGGCCAATTAATTGTCATGACCCAGAAGGGAGCATAGAAAGGGAAATATTAGAAAGCAAACCCCTCAATTTTCACATCCTAATCACAGCAGTCTGATCTCTAGAAAGACTTTTATGAAAGCAGTTTTGTATTTCTCCAGATCCTTTCAGGCAAATAACCCCAGGGCTCTGATTTCTGCCTTCATTCTCTGTAGTCACTGTGGAATGCACACAGCCTTTTAACAAGCCCAAGCAGAGCTGCACTGCTTCTTTTTTTTTTCTTTAATAAAATAAACTTTCATTTGTAAAACAAAATATAAATCTTAGAAGTGGGGAGTTTGCAGGACACCCAGATCACAGCCTTGGAACTTTCCCCACATAATGGAGAGCTTTCCAGGGTTGTGTTCACACACCCACCTGAAACAGAAAGTAACAGTTTCCCTTCCTTTGTGACACTAGGCCCTGGAGTTACTCTAACATGCTTGGAGAATTAAAGGAGAGTAATTAGGGCCTCTTTAGTCTGTCTACTCCTGTGGGCTGGACTCACAGTACAGTGAACTAGGCCTTGAAATATAGTTCAAATAACTTTAGGATCAAAAGTATCAGGGTAATGGGACTTCCCTGGTGGTCCAGTGGTTAAGACTCCACCTTCCAATGCAGGGGGTGTGGGTTCGATCCCTGTTTGGGGAGCTAAGTTCCCACATGCCTCATGGCCAAAAAAACAAGGCATAAAACAGAAGAAATATTGTAACAAATTCAATAAAGACCATTAAAAATGGTCCATGTTAAAAAAAAATACCATGATACTTTTTTAAAAACATTTTTTAAGTGCATCTATGAAAACAGCATATGGCAAAATGGCATATAAATTGCTTATAAAAGAAAGATGACTGCCAAAAATTGATGCTTTTACATTGTGGTGTTGAAGAAGACTTGAGAATCCCTTGGATGGCAAGGAGATCAAATCAGTCAGTCCTAAAGGAAATCAACCCTGAATATTCTTTGGAAAGACTGATGCTGGAGCTGAAACTCCAATACTTTGGCCACCTGATGTGAAGAACTGACTCATTTGAAAGGACCCTGATGCTGGGAAAGATTGAAGGCAGGAGGAGAGGGGACGACAGAGGATGGGATGGTTGGATGGTATCACCGACTCAATGAACATGAGTTGGAGCAAGCTCCAGGAGCTGGTAATGGACAGGGAAGCCTGGCGTGCTGAAGTCTATGGGTTTGGAAAGAGTCAAACATGACTGAGTGACTGAACTGATCCATAAGTGGACAAAGTATTGTAGAAGTCAAATATTTCTAGAGAGAATGGGCTAACATGGTGACTTCCCCACTATCTTCTGGGTTTATCATAACTGTATGAGCCAAAGCTAGTGTTTGAGATAATTTGTTGTATAGACTGACATTAACTCTAGGGAAAGAAGTCTACAATTATTCCAATCTGGTTACACCTTTTCAGAGAGATCATTTTAAAGGCTCTATTGTTTTTCTTGTTTTGTTTGCTGAGAAATTGCTAGATTTAATTTTCTTTCAACATATGGATTTATAATAATCAAATAAAATGTTTTTATAATGTTATGTAGTGACCCATGATGAATTAATGATTAAATTTGTGGCAAGAGAAATAGTAAGTTAATCAGCATAGACTGACTTTAAAAAAAAATCAATTAAAGCTTATATATTAACCTGAGTTAGTTCACTATATAATAGAAACCACTTATATATAAATGTATGAAGTACAAGGCAAAATTTACCCTCCCTCTGTAAACCAAGCTGGCCCTGAGCATATGGTTTTCCTTTTAATTATCACTTAGTAGTAATTCTGGGCCTTACTTTTAAAGAGCATTGGCGACATAACTTGGCACAGAAGTTGACATGTTTTGCTTGTTGGCAAGCTCTCTTTAGCTTCTTTCCTGTATTATTGTGTTTCTTTAAACAAATCTGTCAATATTCACAGAATTAGATAAATTAGAATTGGAAAAATTGTTGTGGAGGATGGAGACTTTCCTCTGACTCAGGCCAAATTACTGTCTGCAGACTTTTTTCTTATTGTTTGGCCTGGCTTTATGACAACACGAAGAGTAACGTATGTGATATCACTTTCTTTTTTCAATATTCATGTCTATCTAGGATTCCCTAGTTGAGTTCTGACTATTTTCAATATTTTTGCTTCTCATTACATATTTTTTTCAAATTGAATCCTTTTAAAATTACATCGAATAACTTTGCTTTTTATTTTCTAGGCTTTCACATTCCACCAAAGAAATCACATATGGTAGTGTTGTTGGGAAACCCATTCAAGAGACTTATGGAAAAATCTATGGAATCATTCTATTGCAAATTATTCAGTTGCCAGAATTCCTTTCTAGAACAAAGTGGAATAGAAATGCATAAACACGTAAAACTTTTTTCACCTATAAGGTGAACCACATGTATGCTATGTACATACCTGTGAGAGGGTGGCGTAAGTTGTAATTGAAAAGACCAAGCTTTTACCTGGAATAGATGCAGTTAGTGCAGTTGCTGTAGAAATACTGGAAGAATGAAATGCATTCTTCACGAACAAGTGTAAGTATCCTTTTCTTCTACTTCCCAGGTGAATGATGTGGAAGAAATGTTAGACCTGTTACAGAAGAAGTTTATCTGTACTTCTAAACATGCATAACTATGGTTGTCCCCTGCAGCCCTGAGGTTAAATATACAATTTAGTTTGGGAAAGAAGAGCAAAGGTATATTAAAAACTTTACCGTGCTTTGTCTAAAAATGGAATCCATTACTGTGGCCACATCCAGCCAGCTTTCTGTTAGGATGTTCCGGCCCTTTCTGTAGACACAGCCAGGAGTGTCTGAGAAGGAAAGGCGCGGGCATCTCGCTGAGATGTGGTTTTGTTTTCTGCGGGCGGTGCTCTGGCGGCTCCAGCTCACCTGACCATCGCAGGTCCTCCTTCGGATCTATCACACTTTAAAGGAGACAGGCTGAATAAGACGGGGTCCTTGTGCTCAAGAATCTTATGCCTTATTAAGAGAAATAAGACAGACACAGACAAATCTATAAAATCAGGGAATAAGGCAGTATGTGACAAGTGCCAGGTGAACAGAGCAAATGCAGTATATGCCTCAGGCAGGGGAGACTGAGTCTCACTCAATTTATTTTCACTTAAGTTATACTCCAAGCACTCTAGCTGTATATCATGGGGAGAAAAATACATGATAAAGGAAGATTTCTAAGGCTGGATGATTTAACAGACCCTTTAAAAGAATTAGCAGAAAATGCATTTTGGTTCGCAGCAATAGCTGTATAGAGAAGTTAAGTTTTCCTAGTTTTTCTGTATTTGATTTTGCACGCTCCAGAATAGATGGGTTTTCTTTTGACTTTCACTTTGATTTTCTTCTCTGTTCTTTCCACTCCTGCTGACCTCTGCAAACACCGCTTCGTTCTATCCGATTCACAGGGCCTTTGGGTCACCTCGGACAAAGATTGGTGTTCAGGGCAGCATCAAGTCACTGACTTCCCTCAAAGGAGAAGCAGTAAGCTGGCGTGGGACTACAGACCCTGGGGGTGAGATCTGTGACCCTGGGATTCCCAGAGTCGTAAAATTCTTATTTGGGGAATACTACGTAGCTATTTCAAGAGCAGGCCAAGTTCTTCCTAGGAGCTGTAATACACAGCATTGCTTTTTCCGTGAGAAAGTAAGCTAAGCCCCTCAGGGATGCTGTGGGAATAAGAGCCACAGTGTTGTAACTAATCTGCTTTAAAAGTTGAATTCTTAAAAGATGCATTTTACAATTTTTAAGTCATATTATTTTCACAGTTGAAGCACTCAGGGTAAAGGGCCATCCAGGGTATTTTGAAAAGATTATACACTGTATTTTGTCAGAACATTTTTTCCCTATGATTTCATAGGCTCTCCTTCATGGAAGGGAAAAAAAAAATGTTTCTCTTTCTCCCCCCTTCTCTTGCTCTTGTAACTGTACTCAGAATTCTTGGGGAGATAAAAGAGTTTAAAGATGCTCCAACAACTTGCTGGTCTATAGTTAGATTTTGTTTTTCCTATTTAAAGTGTGCAGTACTTTGTAACTGGACTGATATCCGGGCTGGTTGCCCAGTGGAAATTTCAGAAACAGAGGACAGTGTGTTTCTGTACGTTGTTTCAAATAACTCTCCTTGCTTCTTTAGGGAGATATAATAGGCATTCACATTAGGCCAGAAGGTTATTAGATCTCCATGAGGCTCCGTCCGGCTACATGCCATGAATATTATTCTGTCAACACAAACGTCATTAGAATCTGCTAAAATTGAATTACTCTTAGCAGCTTTACAGCTGTCTCACAATATTTGACAACTACCAAGAAATGCATCTTGGCATCAATGAGAATTCTTCACTAGGCCGATTTATATCTAAGAACAGTGGGAAATGAAGGGGAATACGGTATCACTGTTTCAATGTATAATGTTTACAAAATCGGTACTGAGTTTTTTCTCTCACAGGCTGGGATTGATTTTTCCACCCCCCTTCTCCGTACCTTTATAGCCCTGGCGACTATAAATAAGTTGCAGGAAAATGACTTCTCTACTGTTTCACGATGCTTTTCTTATCTGACTGCTGCAGCTGTCACGTAGCCACATGCTCTTATTTAAGATGTCTCTGGCTGGAAACATTACTGCTTCTGTTCTTCAGTAGCTGAGGAACATGATGATAGTATTTTGTGAATTTAATTCATTTCTTCTCTTTTGCTTTACTACACTGTTAATGTCTAGTTCTCTCTGTGATCTTCAGTCTCCTCCATAGGGTTCCTCTGTCTACAGTTAATATTTATCCCAAAGAAAAACTGAATTTCAGATTTTAAAAAGAATCTGTGAGTCTGAGCTTCACAACTTGCTCTTAGATTTCAGTATTCCTAATGTGAACCTACAAATAATGCTGATCATTTTCATTTGTAACAGGTCTTCAAGGTCAGTGTTAAGAGCTTCATAACACCCAGCACTAAACATTTCTATACATTCTTCTCCACGGTATTCTGTTTGCTTTCTTTAAAATGAGATGCCCTTAAAATGCACATAGGAAGTGAAATATTGCATAGGATGAAACACAACAATATCCATTTGAAAACCAGTAGGGTTAAAGATTTTGCATGCAGTTAAATTCTGCATACTTACATTTCCTTGCAAACTTATTGCAATTCAGTTTCTTTTCAGTTAATATTATTTATTCAGTCTGAGGTAAATTACATTCTCAGGTGAATTAAAATCATTTTTAACATCATTTTATCTTGTTACTGAGTCTTTGAATGAAGTAAAAAGTAGATTTGTCACAAGAATCAGGACAGACTACTAGTGGAGTTTATGGAAATAGAACTTTACGTGGATTACTGCAAAATTTCTGCTTCATAAAATTTCCCCCTAAATCATTGTGTGAGAAATAGATCATTTATTAAGTAAGCAATAAATATTGGGAGAGGGTCAAAGTTATTACAGAAAGAAATACCGAAAGTCATGGTGAAAAACACTGCAGATATTCTAATGGGCAAAAATGCATCATGAAATTATTTCCCACAATGTCTGAAGACTGCAAAAAAGAGCAGAGTGCCGGGTAGAAAGAAACAGAGAGGCCAGCCAGTACTTTGAGGGTCTGATCAAACTAGACACTCAATTGGGATGATTTTAGCCAAATTCCTCCCACTTTCTCCACTGTAGAACTGTTACTAAACAGCATAAAAGTATGATCAAGTGTCTTTCGAACTATATAATTGGTGGTATTACTGGAGAAGACCCTGTTAATTTTAGAGGAAGATGATGGATTAGTTCTGAAAGTGAGGAAGTAATCAAAGGAACTGGCATTTGGATTGGAGTGTCAGAGAACAAAAGTTTTCTTTTGTTGGAGGGAGGACTCTTGGTTTACAGGTAATGAGAGAGATGATAGAAATAGAGGAAAAAAGGTGAGAAGAATCAAATTCAATCAGATTTCAAACTAGAGGTTAACTGGAAGCAACTAAAAGGGCTGCACTAAAACAAGAGAAAGGAAGTATAAAAAAGATGGTTTTTACAGGACGAATGAAAAATACATAGCACTGAGAAGCTTTTTTAAATACAAGTATTCACATCAGAATGATTTTAGAACATACTACATATTCTGTTTGCTCTTAGAGATACAGTCTAAGGTTAAAAATGCGGAGGAATCTTAACATTATCTCAGTTTCTTTGTCTTCATAGTAATTACTGTATTGTTTAAGATCCAAGAGTTGCAATAATATAGAAAAAGAGATATATGCATACACATTTTTTAAAAGTTAAAACCATGTAATGTTAAAAAGTTTAAAATATCAAATACAAATATAATCTTACAAGATATATTTTCAGGCTCTCTCCATCCAAAAACATTCAGAAACAAATAATATTCCTTGTGGAAATCAGTACTCCTCACACCCAGTTTTCATTTTCTAATTATTATTCACACTGAAGGAATCAGAGACACTTAGGAAATGGCTGATTCTAAAGGAAGAAGCAAAGAAGTGGAAGGGAATGGTGACTGCCAAACCTCTAACACCATGAGTGCCCTCCATATTCTGAGAAGGAAAGTATTCAAGGATGAACAGATTGCGTTAAAAGGACACAGTTGCCAGCCTAGAGTGACTCCTCCTGATCCAAACTGGGCGAGTTCAAACACCAATAAAAATAATAACTGTAATTCATCAGAATCCATTGCATAAATATATATCATTGAGTTAATAGTAAGACTAAGGAAAGAGACTATAAATCAAACAAACTCATTGATCACCTCTGGATGTGACTAACATACCAATTCCTTACTTTTGAAAACTGGTAATTAAAAGATAAGAGCAGTTCAGGAGACCATGTTAGATCCTGGCCCATGGAGATCCTACATGCCATGGAGCAACTGAACCCCTAAGCACCACAACTACTGAACCTGTGCTCTGGAGCCCGGAGGCCGCAACTACTGAACCCACGTGCCACAGCTACTGAAGCCTGAATGCTCCAGAGCCCGTGCTGCACAACAAAAGAACACACTTCAAGGCCTGCACACTGTGACTGAGAGAGCAGCCCCTGCTAACCGCAACTAGAGGAAAGCCCTCGAAACAATGACCATCCAGCACAGTCCAAAAAAAGATGAGAACAAGATATAATATCTTGTTTTTTCAACAAGAACTATAGATTCAAGGATTTTAAAAAAGGGGCCCTAGTCGATAAAAAAATTGTTTTACTTATTTATATGATAATAATAAATGTAAAAAAAAGATAAGTAGAAAATCACTGCTAATTTCAATCAAACAGCTAAGGGAAGAAACTTAATGGCTGTAAACATTTTTGGTGAAATGTTGGTAAACAAAATATCCACATAATGTTGAGTATCTCCCCATAGATTATTTGTTAATTGAAAAAGAGAAAGCAGACCTTTGTGGTGAAAGATCTGACTAATGGAATTAATCCAGCGGCACTACTTACTTGTGAACAACACAGACATTCTGTAAATTAAATGCAACAAGAAATACTGATTTTTCCATGAACTATTTTTCACAAAAGTGTTTAACTTGTGTCTAATCATGACGTTAGTTTTAAATTTCAGCTTATAGAAAACACAGGTGATACAGAAATATAAATTATGTGATGAAAACACACCCAGACAAATGCAGAATGTAAAACATTCTATAGGACATCTGGTCTGATATCTTAAAGTAGTTAGTAGCAGGGGCAGAAATAAAAAGTGGTAAAAACAACTTGACTGAGAAAGACTTAGAAAGACTTAGAAACACAACAGATGTACTGAGTGCCTTATGATTGAATCCTCATGAACAGGTATATGGGAGAATTGGAATATAGACCAATAGACTGGGTATCTGATTTTATTAGGGAACTATTGTTGATGTTAGGTATAATCATGCTACTGTGATCATATGGAGAGCATTTCTTCTCACACTAAAGAATTTGGAGGAAAGAATCATGATATATATAAATTAAGTGTTATAGTCAAAAAGATAAGTGTAAGCAATGATAAAGTATAAATTTATATAGAAAGTATATATCTAGATTGGGCTTCCCGGGTGGCTCAGTGGAAAAGAATCTGCCTGCAATGCAGGAGATGCAGGTTCCATCCCTGGTTTGGGAAGATGCTCTGGAGGAGGAAATGGCAACCCATGGCAGTATTCTTGTTTGGAGAATGCCCATGGACCGAGGAGCCTGGTGGGCTACAGTCCCTGGGGTTGCCAGAGAGTTGGACATAGTGACTAAAACAGCACAAATACAACCTGTATCTAGATTAACAGAAAAGGCAAAATGTTTGCAGGTGTTGAATCTGGATGGTAAAGTATACAAGTCTTTGTGGTATTCTTTCTGTTTTTCTATATATTTTAAAACTGTCATGATACAATAGTTTTTATTTTTAAAGAATATTTGTTGTTCGGTCTCTGTCATGTCCGACTCTTTGCGACCCCACAGACTGCAGGATGCCAGGCTTCCCTGTTCTTCAGTATCTCCCAGAGTTTGCTCAAACTCATGTCCATTGAGTTGATGATGCCATATTTAAAGAATATGTATAACTATAAAGCCCCAGAAGTTATAATAAGAAGTACAGTAGCTCCATTCTCTTAAAGCCTTTGCATTAGAGATTCAAATAGCCTGCTTCTAGGATTCAAGTTCAAAGAGATAAATATTTAATTTGGGGAAATCAGTAGCTTTAAAGAGAGCTCTGAAGGAGAAAATCGTATGATATTCCTGATATACAGAGTTTAAAAAAAAAATAACTCAACTTATTTCCAAAACAGAAATGGACTCACAGACTTAGAGAATGAACTTATGGTTGTCAGGGAAGAAGAGATAGGGAGTTTGGGATGGACATGTACACACTGCTATATTTAAAATGGATAACCAACAAGGACCTACTGCATAGCACAGCGAACTCTGCTCAATGTTATGTGGCAGCCTGGGTGAGAGGGGAGTTTGGATACATGGATACATGTATGTGTATGGCTGAGTCCCTTCACTGACCACCTGAAACTATCACAACACCGTTAGTCAGCTATACTCCACTGTAAAAGTTTAAAAAAATAAAGGGAGCTCTGCTATTGGAAACACTGGAATGCATACCAGTAAAATGTAAAGTATGTAACTGCTTCAACACTTCCCTAGAGAATTCTTGACCTTGGAAGCTCCAAGGATGTAGCTTAAGAGTGACAGGGACCCAGACGGGCCCGCACCCACTCCCTGAGCCTTCCTGGAGCCAAGTTGTCTTGCTGCAAGTCCTCCAGGCCAGTACATGTCTGAGATCCCAGCTTCCAATCCAGATATTCCTAAACCAAGGGAAACGAACTAACAGTTTCCAAATTTGCTTTTGCTTCCAGGAGAGCTGGAGGAGAGGTCCTAAAGATGTCATCGCCAGGCTACCCAGTGCCCCCACATCAGAATTCCCTGGAATGTCAGGTCAGTCGGATTCTTCAACTCAGTAACACTTGGCTAGTCTGCAAATGCCCCGTCACTGCAAAAATACATGACAGAAAGGGCCCTGTCCATAAACTTCCACCTCGAGTCCAAGCATTATAAATCAATTGTCCTTTCAACAGCCTCTTTTTAACTATTCCAGCCTTATGACTGATTCTCTGCTTCCTAGGTCTTTGAATGGTAATTTCCATGAGAGTCAATTATTTTATGCAGAAACATGTTTTTCACTAGAAAGGAAATTCTTTTTATCTTACTAAAGTTGGAACATGATAATTTAGACATTTTCGTTCACTAAAACATAAAACATCTAGTGCATGGCTGTTACCTGAAGTACTAAATCAAAGTGTTCTTCTAAGGTAGGATGTATGGCCTTAGAAAACTCACTAGGTCAGAAAGCACTCACTGACCTCCTACAGCCTGAAAAGGAAAGTGTGGGACCACTTATGGGAAATGTCAATATTAGCCTGACTGCATGTCTGCAGAGAGTTACAAATATTTATGGGAGAGAAGGTAATTAAAAAATAAGCTAAGGAAGCATATTTTCATACTTTTCTAAGTATTTTCTAAATGACACAAATCAGGTAACAAATACTTCACCTTCCACTCAGGTCATTTCCTGGGTGAATATGACCATTTCACTTACAGTTTTTTTCTTTTTTTAAAGGAATCAAAGCATCTTTCAGGTGTATATTAGTCTCATAAAATGGATATCTAGATATTTTATATAGCAAGGCCTTGTGGTCTTGTAGTTTTGTATAAAAGGTGTGTTAATGTGTGTGTGTGTGTGTGTGTGTGTGTGTGTGTGCATGTATTGAAAATTCCACAGATTTTTGATTTTCACAAACAGGCAATATACTCCCAATCCTCTTGAAATTAATGGTGAACTTCAGTAGAATGAACTATGTAACTGGTCGAATCCTACCCATCCTGAAAAAGGAGTTTAGTCAAGTGGTAGAGGAGGAAGAGGGTCTCACTTTGGTCCGGAGATACGCCTTCAGCTTTGGAGATCACTGGTCCATTGGAAAAACAAATGGAAAGGCAGGGGTCATCTTAGCATTGTGAGGAAGTAAGCAAGATACTCACCAACAGGGGAATCTTGGTTCCTAAGTTGTGGACTAGGGGCATTGACTCTGATGGAAATAATGCACAATCCCTGAGGATATGACAGTAGTCTTTAATCAAGAGGATTCACTTTCCTAGTATTACTTAAATAGGCTTTTTATGTCATGTGACAGACTCAAAGACCCAGCAGAGTGACTAAAACTGACTTCTCCTAATGCAAATGTATTAGTTTAAAGCAAGGTTTTTCAACCCCAGAACTACTAACATTTGGGACCAGAAATTGTTTGTTGTGAGTTCTGTCCTGTGCCTTATGGGATGTTTATCAGCATACTTGGCCTCTACCCGACGGATGCTGATGGCACACCATCAGTTACAATGACCAAAAAAATCTTCAGACACTGCAAAATGTCCCCTCTGGAGGAAAATGCTCCCAGTTGAGAATCACTGCACTAGGAATTCAAATCTATACACTGATACTATGTATTATAGCTACTTTGGGGAAGTGAATACTTAGTATAGTTTACATTCTTAAGAAGATCCTGACTCATTCACTTTTTTTAAAAAAATGTCTATTTATTTGGCTGTGCTGGGTTTTAGATGTGGCATGTGGGATCTTTAGCTACAGCATGTGAAGTCTTGGTGACAGCATGTGGGATCTAGTTCCCTGACCATGGATTGAACCTATGCCCCACCCTAGGCATGGAGTCTTAGCTACTGGGCCACCAGGGAAATCCTTGACTCATTCATTCATTCAGCAAATATTATACTGTTGATATGTCTCTCCTAGGAAGAATGAATAGCATGTTCCAAGGCCCTGGGGCAGGACAAGGCCTGGGTATTAGAGGGAAGTTCAAGGTATTAGACCAATTGGTCTTTCTTGAATTTATCCTTAAAAGATTAATTTTGCTCATATAGATTTTATGTTTGGTTTCATCAAAACCTTAAATCTGAAAGTTAAAACAATGGTTGTCACTTTTGATAATGGTATGTACACATATACTTTCTGGGATCTTTTATTCTTAAATATCATGAATAAAAATCTTGTGTCATATTTAGTCACTAAAAAAAAAAAAAAAAACTGAATAAACCATCAGAGTTTTAGGTATGTGGGTACATCTATCAAGAAGTAAAATCTGATTCTTTTAGGCCAAAGAAGTTGAATTTGAAATATATAATTTGGAAAGCAACATGTAATGACTAGGAAATCCATTTTCTACTAAACATTGATATATGTCTATATAATTTGAAATATATGTATATATATGTATCTTTATATCAGTGTTTGGTAGTTGATGTTTATCAAAGCTTCTAGGCAATCTCTATTCAGTATCCAGTGTGATAATTTCTGAATAAAAACATTTGACTCTGCCCACTCCCCCATTAAAATGCTTTCATGGATCTGTTCTGACAGTGGGATGAAAACAAATCTAAGCATGATCCATGGATTTACCACCCTAGCTACATCCCAGACCACACACGCCCTCCTTCCTCATTCTAGCTATCCAGACTCCCTTTGACCAAGGCTTGTCCCCGGGTCGGCACACAATGGTTTGTCTGTCTGGAAGGTACTACTCTCCATCTCTATCATGCTGAGTTCCTGCTCATTCTTTAGCTCTCAGCTGAGCTCTCCTTCCCCCCACCGTCTGACCACTCTGGCTAGATCAGTCTCCCTGATACATACTCAGAGTATCTTTATCTTTTTGTCATACCATTATTCATATCTGGAGTTTTTCAGATCTACCGTGTGATCATCAATGTATCTTCCTTCCCCACCAGAGCACACACACACAGTACTTTCTTGTGTACAGAGCCCGTGTCCAATTGGTTCACCATTATACCCAGCATCCAGCATCAGTGTGGCACATGTAAGACCTTCATAAGTCCCTGCTAAATGAATGAATGATAAACCCTCCCAGCTCCTTAAACACACTGTGCTAGTATGTGCTCCACACTTACGCCCTGAGCGTGTGCCTTGCTTCCTTCTTTTAGGTCTGCAGCCATCTCCCCAGAAGGAAGTTGCGGTGGTGGTGATGGTTCACAGATGCAGGATTTGTGCTAGGTGCAAAGTGACGTCATGCAATTCCTATGGGCTAGGAGAGAAACCTCTGAGTCTCCTAAAACCTCATGTTGTTAGAAACAAATTTTTTTTGTGAGTCTGCTTCTTTTATGGTTTATTCCAATTTCGATATTCAGATTCCCCTATATCTCATTCAGGGTAAATTTAAAATTCCGTATCTGACCCAATCTACAACCTTGCTACAATGTACTGAATGTTTGTCTATCAGAAATGTACATGCTGAAATCCTAACCCCCTGAGGTTATGGTATTAGGAGGTGGGGGCTTTGGGAGGTGGTGAGGTCATGAGGGTAGAGTCTCCATAAATGGGATTAGTGCCCTTATAAGAAAAACAAAAACGAGAGCTCCACCACCTTTCCACCATGTGAGGTTACAGCGTGAAGGGAAGGGTCCTCACTAGATACCAAATTCATCAGTGTTTTCATCCTGCACTTACCAGCTTGCAGAGCTGTGAGAAACTGCTTATGGCATTTTTGCCATAGCAATCCAAATGAACCAAGAAACTTATATGATATACATAATCTCTCATCCATTCAAGTCATTAAAATCAAGCTCAGTGACTTTGGGGTGGGTGGTCAAAAAGCATCAAAAACATTTTTTTAAAAAATATTTTTCAGCTGGTCTTGCATTTTTGGTAATAAAGGTTTCTGAGAAGCTTTTCATTGCTAGTGAAAGTCTCTCAGTTGTGTCTGACTCTTTGCAACCCCATGGACTATATAGTCCATGGAATTCTGCAGGCCAGAATACTGGAGTGGGTAGCCTTTCCCTTCTCCAGGGGATCTTCCCAACCCAGGGATCGAATCCAGGTCTCTTGCATTGCAGGCAGATTCTTTACCAGCTGAGCCACAAGGGAAGCCCAAGAATACTGGAGTGGGCAGCCTATCCCTGCTCCAGCGGATCTTCCCGACCTGGGAATTGAACTAGGGTCTCCTGCATTGCAGGTGGATTCTTTACCAGCTGAACTACCAGGGAAACCCTTTTCATTGCTAAGCACAAATCAAAACTCTTGAATTCTTTTAGTGAAGAGACTGTTAAATATCTCTTATTTGTACTAGAAGAGCCACTGCGGTGAAAAACACTCTGAAATATACTTTGTTTTGGTGTTACTTATTTTGATGCCTTTTTAATCTGTATATGCAATGTGTATCTCCAAGAATTTCTTATAAAAAAATCTGAAACTGACTTACCATGTAGTTGCTAACTTTGTTCTAGATGCATCAATAATTAAAAGTAAAAAAAAAAAAAAAAAACAGTTCTGAGTGATTATGTAATACACATGAATCCACGACACCACTTGGAAAGAACTGTCAATGGAAATTTCATTTGTAGGGGTTTGGGGCATAAGATGACTGCATAAAGTGTCTACTTTTTAAATAAATAGTACTGTTTTGGGAAGAACTTTTCAGGCAGTGTCTAGAATGTCCCATAAGGAGGTAGAGAGATAGGAGTTGATATGAGCTCCTCTGAGATTCTGTCACTAGATGGAGGAACTAGTACTATCCATACCGTAATTCCTAAATCCCTCCCTGCGCCTTCCCCTGAGTCTTAGAGTGGCTGTTCAGAGTCATTATGGACGAGCTGAGGGTCACCTCCTGCTAAAATGCTGATTTATGGATCTGCTTCTGTTTCTGCTGCTGTTTAAAGGCTCCTTGTCCCCCTCCTTGCCTCCTTCCCCTGTGATAAAATGGGGACTTTTAGGTCTAGTCCAAGAGTATAAATAAAGATTAGGATGACTATTTTTCAGATTCAGAATTCCTAAAGTACCTAGTGAGAACTTCATGAGAAACAAAATTATTCTTGTTTATAAATAAAATCATATTGTGAGTATCTAACTGGGTACATCTATAAGAGGGTATTTAATAAGTTACCCTCAAGATGATTTTAACTGTATCAAGAGAAGAGAAAGAAGGAAGAGGAGAGAGAGAAAAAGAAAGAGGGGTTACTTTTGATCTCTGATTATTATAGAACTAATGATAATATTAACATTTAATTTTAAAATCTACATGTGCTTTTTTTTAAGATGAAAGGAAAACTTCAGCACCCATCAGATAAGTTTCTCAAAGAAGAAGTCAATGAAGAGGTATAAGATGAATGCTCTGGACTAATTGGACAAAATAAAATATATGCAACAGCATGCTTCTCCAGTGTCTTAAAAGGTATTCTACACTTAAAAGCAAATATTCAATGCTCTGCATGCATTTAAAATATGAATAATGACTATAGAAGAATGTTTGATTTTTATGTCATGAGATTTTATAATATTTTTAAAATGTTTACAGGATTTTTAAAATAATTTGATTGCTTTAATCAGTAAAAAATGAACTGAAACACAAAAATTGTATCAATGATTTGCAAATAATAGTGGAAAATATTTTTTCCTAAATGTTGACATTTAACTATCTCATTCTTGTAGTTTGACTGTGAATTTCCTTGTTTGTCCTCTCATTTGTCATTAAATATTGGAATTCCTCTTTAAGCTATATAATTGTAAATAAGGGAATTCTCCCTAAAATCAAAAGGATGCCCTTGACTATTATTTTATTGCAGTTCTGATACTTTCATAACTGTAGACTGTATCAGTTGAGTTCAGTCGCTCAGTAGTGTCCGACTCTTTGCAACGCCGTGGACTGCAGCGCACCAGGCTTCCCTGTCAACTCCCGGAGCTTGAGTAAACTCAGGTCCACTGAGTCGGTGATACCATCCAACCCTCTCAGCCTCTGTTGTCCCTTTCTCCTACCACCTTCAATCTTTCCCAGCATCAGGGTAGACTAGATAGCACAATCTTAATATTGTACAGCTTACTGACATATCAGCGTATTCATGTTAATTGATCTGGTAAGCTCTTTTGATATAACAGATTCTACTTATAAACTGATCAAAATATGTTTAAATAAAAGCCTTCTGGGGCTTCTCTGGTGGCCTGGCAGATAAGAATCTGCCTGCCAACGCAGGAGACAGGGGTTCCATTCCTGATCCATGAAGATCCTACATGCTGAGGAGCGGCTAAGCGTGTGTGCACCACAACTACCGAGGCTGTGTTCTAGAGCCTGTGCTCCACAACCAGAGACGCCACCGCAATGAGAAGCTCACCCCAACTAGAGAAAAGCCCAAGCAGGAACGAAGACCCAGAACTGCCAATAAAAAATAAGTTAAAAGAAAAAGCTTTCTGGCATATTTTTTCCTTATTCATTTTCTTCTCATTATGATTGATAGATATTCTAAGAAGTAAAGAAGTATAGGTATTGCTTTACCATCTATACGCCATCACGTATTTTTTTTTTAAAAGCACAGTCACTTAGTCATGTCCGACTCCTTGAGACCCCATGGACTGTAGTCTGCCAGGCTCCTCTGCTCATGGGATTCTCCAAGCAAGAGTACTGGAGTGGGTTGCCAGTCCCTTCTCCAGGGGGTCTTCCCAACCCAGGGATCAAACCCAGGTCTCTCCCATTGCAGGCAGATTCTTTACCATCTGAGCCACAGGGAATATTTTTAAGTCACTCTTTATTGAGTGTCAGGTCCTTAATACGTTAAGGGTACTACATAGAATATTCAATTAATTCTTACCAGAACCAAGTATGTTGGGCATTAACAGGTCCTTTGTGCAGAAACAAGAGACAAAGCCTCAGAAAGGCATTTTAATTCCCTGCATCTCAACAAAGCCAGAGGTGACAACAGAACCAGAATTTAAACCTATGCTGGCCTGACTTCAAAAGGTGTATTCCTTCAAATAAAGCAGTTAATAATAAAATGATACCAAAAACTGGCAAATGCAAAAAAGTACTTAAATATTCTTATCTATTTAAATAAAATTTATATAACATGCACAGGACAGTACAGGCGTACCTCAGAGATATTGTGGGTTAAGTTCCAGATCACCAAACTAAAATGAATATTGAAATAAAGTGAGTCACACACATGTTTTGGTTTCCCAGTGCATATAAAAGTTATGTTTACACTATACTGTAGCCTATTAAGTACGCAATAGCATTATGCCTTAAAAAGAACAAGTACAAGCTTAAATATACTCTCTCTGCTTAAGTCAGACAGAGAAGGAGAAATATCGTATGACATCCCTTATATGCAGACTCTAAAAAGAAGAGATACAAATGAACTTGTTTGCAAAATAGAAACAGACTCACAGACTTAAGAGAATGAAAATATGGTTGCTACTAGGGGTAAAGATGAGGGGAAGGGATAGGTAGGGAGTTTGGGGTGGAACTGTACACACTGCTACATTTTAAATGGATAACCAACAAGGACCCACTGTGTAGCACAGGGAACTCTGTTACCTGGCAGCCTGGATGGGAGAGGAGTTTGGGGGAGAATGGATACATGTAGATGTATGGCTGAGTCCCTTTGTTGTTCACCTGAAACTATCACAACATTGCTAATCAGCTACACTCCATATAAAATAAAAAGTTAAAAAATAAAAATACTTCATTGCCAAAAAATACTACCATCATCTAAGACTTCATCAAACTGTAATCTTTTTGCCACAATAAAATCAAAGATCACCAATCACAGATCATAATAACAAATACAATGAAAATTTAAAAAGTTTGAAGTACTCAACAATCAAAATTTGACAGACATGAAGTGAGAAAATGTTCGAAAATTGCACACTTAGACTGCTTGTGCAAGGTTATCATAAATCTTCAATTTGCAGGGGGGAAAAAGCAATATCTTTGAAGCACAATAAAGCAAAGTACAATAAAATAAGGTATGCCTGTACCTAACATAATCATATAATTAAAACAACAGGTGGCCACAACTTTTAACCAATAGTTAGAAAATTGGGGTTTTACACATGTATTAGTTAGGAAAGGCTAAGTTTTATAAAGACACTGAACCAAATCTCAGTTATTTAACAAAATACAGGTTTAATTCTTGCATTTGTCATAGTCCAATCAGCAGGGTCAAGATGAAGTTTTGGAAATGAAATTGAAATGCCAGTGAAAAGGAATAATGTCAGAGGTGAGAATAAAATTCCTCCCTTTAAGAAGAAACCTAGACTTGTCTCCAAAATGAGCTACCAAAGATTAGTCACTTATTTAATATTAAAAATACATCTCACTAGTTTGTCCTCTTTTACAATGCCAGGGTAAGCTAAGCCTGGGTGTTTTAATTGTAACAGTGATTTTGTGGTAAATTTAAATATTAAAACTGGTGTGTTTAATAAATGTCCAAATTATGACATCATTTTAAGGGACTATTAATTCACACCTTATTAAATTGTGAAGATTATAAAATTAAAGCTTGTTTTTAGAAATAAAAAACAAGTTTTCTTGTAAATTGTGTTATTCTTGAAAGGAAGAAAAAGACTAATGATACTATCTTGAGCCCAAATACAGTAGAAGCAGCAGATGAAAAACTGCCTTCCTCCAACTCTGCCAATGTACACAATTTCCGAGATATATCACCACACCCTATTTACTATCCTTGGCTTGGCTTCAACTGGAGACTGCCAATTCCTTCTGAAACAGCCAGAAATTTGTGGCAACCTTGTTACACATGGTCTATTTTTTTTCCCCATGGAAATATTTTACTCTCTATATTTTTCCATACTATGACTTTGAGAAGAACTCCATCCCAGGATTGTGGCTGTTGAAAGTTCCACCATTACACTTACGTACTAAGCACGAAGAAAATAATTTCTACAAGATTTGTGATTTTAGTACTGTTGATATTTTAGTTCAAATTCCAAATTTCATTCTTCCATGCATTTATTGATTCACTCCAGAAATATTTCTGGCTTATCATCTATATGACAGGCAGTGTGTTTAGTATTAGGAATCCAATTTGAACAGATCCTCACTCTTGATTCACATACTCATGGGGAAGACAAGCAAGTAATCACATAAATAAAATAAAATGCAGACTGTGAAAAGTGCTACAAAGAACACAATGGTGTTTCTGGGTCCTTATTTTATAATAATCATATCTTTAAAGATAAAGGGGAAAAAAACACACTAAAGAACTTAATTTGAGATGATTTGGACAGCTTCCGTGGTGGCTCAGTGGATAAGAATCTGCCTACCAAGGCAGGATACAAGGGTTCGATCCCTGGTCTGGGAAGATCCCACATACTGAGGAGCGACTTAGCCTGTGCAGTGCAGCTGTTGAGCCTACGCTCTAGAACCTGTGAGCCGAACTACTGAGCCCAGCTGCTGCAATACCGAAGCCTGCATGCCAGAGAGCCCGTGCCCCACAGCAAGAGAAGCCACCTCAGCGAGAGAAGCCCAAGCACCGTGACCAGAGTAGCCCCACTTGTTGCGACTGCAGAAAAGCCCGAGCATAATAAAAACCCAGCACAGCCACAAATGGCGGTGGTGGTGGTGGTGTAGTTGCTAACTCGTGTCCGACTCTTGCGACCCCATGGACTGTAACCCGCCAGGCTCCTCTGTCCATGGGATTCTCCAGGCAAGAACACTGGAGTGGGCTGCCATTTCCTTCGCCATAAATAAACAAGTAAAATTATTATTTTTTTTAAAGATTACATTTCAGATGATGTGGAGAGCCTTTTATAGAGGTTAGGGTTCAACTGAGACAGTGGATGAGGAAGAGCCAATCATATGAAAAGACAATAGAAACTATGCAGGTCCTAAGACTGGAAAGTGTGGTGTATGGGCAGACCAGAGTTCAGCGGCCGGGGAAACGGGGTGACCAGAAAGGAAAGCAGGGCCATGCAAGACTCCCCCAGTCACAGAAAGCCACTGAAAGACTTCAGTGGGAAGGGTCTTGCTCCTAAGGTAGGATTTACACTTAAAAAATTATTTTTGTGCCTTCATGGTTGAGAAGGTTAGAAAGGGTAAACGTGGACAACGGGAGAGAAGTGGATGAATAATCCAGGCAAAACATAACTGTGGTTTGGATCAGGGTGATGAGAGGAGAGGTGGAGGAAAGTAGCTAGACCTAGAGAGTGTCATACTGAGTGAGGGCAGTCAGACACAGAGACAAATATCAGATGGTACAGCTTATGGGCAGACTCTTTAAAAAATGGTACAAATAAATTTATTTATAAAGCAACTGTATATATACATGATATATTATTAAGTGAAAAAATGGTTACAAACATTATGCATAATCTGGTCAGTTTTCATTCCAATCCCAAAGAACAGTGCCAAAGAATGTTCAAATGACCACATAATTACATTCATTTCACATGCTAGCAAGATAATGCTCAAAATCCTTGACGCTAGGCTTCAGCAGTACATGAACCGAAAACTTCCAGATGTACAATCTGGGTTTAGAAAAGACAGAGAAACCAGAGATCAAATTACCAGCATTCTCTGGATCATAGAAAATCAAGGGAATTCCAGAAAAACATCTAATTCTGCTTCATTGCCTATGTGAACGTCTTTGACTATGTGGATCACAACAAACTATGGAAAATTCTTCAAGAGATGGGAATACCAGACCACCTTACCTGCCTCTTGAGAAACCGGTATGCAGGTCAAGAAGCAACAGTTAGAACCAGACGTGGAACAATGGACTGGTTCCAAATCGGGAAAGGGGTACATCAAGGCTGTATTTTGTCCCCCTGCTTATTTAACTTATATACAGAGTATATCATGTGAAATTCTAGGCTAGATAAAATCATAAGCTAGAATCAAGATTGCTGGGAGAAATATCAACAACCTCAAATATGCAGATGATAAAACTCTAACGGCAGAAAGCGAAGAGGAAATAAACAGCCTCTTAATGGGGTGAAAGAGGAGAGTGAAAAAAGCCAGCTTAAAACTCAATATTAAAAAAACTAAGATCATGGCATCCAGACCCATCACTTCATGGCAAATAGATGGGGAAAAGGTAGAAGCAGTGCCAAATTTCCTTTTCTTGGGTTCTAAATCACTGAAGATGGTGATGCTGCCATGAAATTAGATGATTGCTACTTGGCAGGAAGGCTATGACAAACCTAGACACTGTACTGAAAAGCAAAGACATCACTGCCAACAAAAGTCTGTAT